CTAAAACGCATGCAAGAAAAAAAAACCAAGGGTGGTCAAGAGCGCAACACTCTAATTAGTTGGTCCCAATTAAGGGCTGCTGTTGGAAACACCTAAAACTGGTTTTTTGTCTAAAAAAAACCTAAAACTGGTTTTGGGTCATCAAATTATAGGTCTGTGTTGGATATGCTCTAAAAATGGTTTGGGTCGCTCTTATAGAATTACAAATTTACGATTCTAACATTGAACCGATTAGGATGTCTATGCCAAATGGTTGTAGAATACGAACCATTGCTGATGTCTAATCAAATATGATCATGAAATCAAGCAAACAAGACCCAGCCAGCACTTGGTGCCTCTATTAATAATAAGATAACACTCGATTACTACTTTCATCATATCAAAAGGGATAAGAGTTGGTAAGCACGGGAGTTGATACAGGTGCAGGTTCATCATGTACAAAACCACATACATGGGCATGTCAATTTGCCGCCAAATAGATGGCTTGAAATACTTGCCTAAATGATCCTTTTCATGAACGACGCACGCCATACTACGGTAGGCAGGATGATGATGTATAAGAGCTGCTGATGCCGGAAGAAGAAACCAGCTGGAGCCCATCACACTTTGTCATCATGAAACCACCACCTCGTCTCCTTCGGAGACCTCCCGTTGCGGCAGTTCCTGACGTAGCGATCGTTATCGGATGGGCGTTCCTGCATGCAAACAATATGTACAGTTAGATGACCGTTCAGTTAGATTGTAGATAATGTAGAGGGAGCTGGGTGACCTTAGCTGGTGAACTTGACAACATGGACAAGATGCTGATGCACACGGAACTGACCGTCATTGCTGGTGACCACGAGTCATACAATATATCTGCAGACAAGTGAATCGTTAGAAAGCTGGGGTTTCAGCACATGAAAATGCACTATTGTAGCATGTCAAAATATGGCAGTTGTTAAATAAAACCAGACACGTCGACAGATACTCAAGAACCCATGAAAACAACCTTAAATTAAATCGGTTTACAAGATGATGCAAAGAAAGAAAAACTGATGAAAGAGCTAACTGTTACGGCTCAATCTTACATTAAAAAACTAAGAGGCAAAAGGTACTAGATGTTCACCAAATGTCTAGATATCTATTTGTCTTAGAAAGACATGACTTGACAATATAGTGAGCTTATCTCATCTTGTTTAAAAAACCCGCTATATGTGAATTGATCAAAGTTGAGCGGAATAACGGGTAAGTAAATAGACTGGGCCAGGAAGACTTGTGACACATGGTGTGGGAATTCACCGTAGTACATATGGACTTGTTTGTTTGGGCTGCAGCTTCGACCGAAGCATCTATAGACTTGCGGCGGTGGCAATCGAGGAAGTGGCTGTGATGAAGGTTAACTGTTTGGCAGCGTAGCCGTGGGAGCTGTTGTGAGCTGGTGAAAATGCTGAAATACCGCCAGAGTGCCCAGATCAGTGTAATTTGCCAACTCTTAGTTAATACTCCCTCCGTCCGGAAATACTTGTCGGAGAAATGCATAAAAATGGATGTATGTAGAACTAAAATGTCTAGATACATTCATTCCTCTGACAAGTATTTCCGGACGGAGGGAGTAGCTTGTTTAAATGGTATTTTGACCAACAGTAAATGTTTTTTTTTATTATATACTAATGTATAAACTACTACCCCTGTTTCTAAATATAAGACGTTTTGGCAGTTTAAATTGAACTGCAAAAACGACTTATATTTAGGAACAGAGAGTGTATTTCATAATAATATTTCTCTCTCGCTCAAAGATGCATAAATAGAATAAACGAGAGCACAAAAAATTTATTGTCATGTCACTTGTCCATGTAGTTTCAATACTATGATTAGCGAGATTAGCTGGGTTCTGGTACACGTGTAGTACCTGTCTAGTCACTTGTAGGTTTCCTAGTTGAGAGTCTGGTGAGGATCAGTAATTATGATCAAGGTTGTCGGGTCATTAGTTTAGGAAAGTGTCGTGCATGGCCTGCAGCACATATCAGTGTACAAGAGAGCGGAAGCATTCGTGCAAGAGGAGGCTGGGGCGCTGGCTAGGTTTGCTGCTGGGAGATGACAGGGAATCGGGGCGCTTGGGGGCAATTTATCTATAATGCGAAAGAGCCTAAGTTACATGGTTTGCCTAAAAACAGATGTTCTTTTACTCTGTTTTCTAGGCTACATGTTCTTTTACTAATAACAGAAGACATTTCGCAGGTATATAGAGCTTTAATAGACAACATTATTTATTCATCTGCATGATTCAGTTCATCAGTATATTTGATCTATGCTGACATTAACACAGGTAGCATTGTACTGGATAATCAATTAGCGATGACCTATCCATCCAGTCCATAAAGGGAACTACCGAGGCACTGGTCGGATGCCAAGCTGCAAAGATGAAAATAATAAGCTATGAGCATGCACAGGTTGTGCTTTTGTCACAGGTAAATTGGCGTGGCTATGAGCATCTGGGGACTTGATGCGTATAAAGCTAATATATGGTGGTCACAAATCTTATAGGATGTTGATTAATACTTTTCTTTTAGTTACTCAGCAGAAGAATATTGAAAAAAATATATATAGTGGATTTAGTTCAGAGACGCATAATTTAATACCTTAACCTCCATCTTAAGAAAATTATGTGTGCTATTAAATTTCCTCTGTATGTATCAAAGCATATTGGTGGACCAGGAATAACGCCATATCAGTACATATTTTTAGCTTTTATACACGTTAATTTAGAAGCAGGTTCGGCACCATTCGGTTTTTTTTTAAATCGGTTTGCAAAGATGGAAACCGATAAAGTCAACACAAAATAGAAAACCGAAAATTCAGTTAACCGAGCTTTTCGGTCTGGTAATCGGTTTATACCGTATTCGCCAAATATGCCAACGAATCAGCCGTGTGGCTCCGTGGCTCGCATCCTTTCCACCTACGCTATTATATAGACTAGCTATCCGCCTCCTTGTGTGTGGCTGGCCGAGGTGGGACTAAACCACCAACCGGCAGCGCCTCGTACGCACGTACAAGTCGACCAGAAAAGCAAGCCACAACAGCTTGCCAGCTTGGGCCTTATTTACGTGCATGCAGCTTGGCCCATGATTTTTCTGCCGCAAACGCGCGCGCTCGAGAATGCCTAGCGCGGGAGCAAGACTAAAAAGAACCTAGTGAGGGGGCAGCTCGTTGTTGGCTGTACGTTCCCGCGACCTCGCCTATCAGCTCACCCATAGGTGATATACCATTAATCCATCATATGGTCCAAGATAATCTTATCAATCTTGAGTGTTGAACACGAAAAGGGTAGTTAATGGACCTTTCCATATGCCACTCAAGCGTGCAAAAGCATGAAGAACAAAACTAAACACGTATCAAAAGGAGCAACAAGAATTATACCTAGACAGATGTGCCCATTGCTGTAAATGTGCGGATGCATCGGCGCCGGATGCATAAATATAACCTGCACCAAAGCATCCATCAGAGCGGTCCAAAATAACGCGAGCTCTACGCGTGAGGTACGAGCTAAAGAAAGCAGAAAGAACAGGGGATGTCTCTCTCTCTCTCACCTGTGGAGCCTCCATGGGGTACTGCTCCGGGAAGTCAACCTGCAGCCGGTACGTCTCGCTGGCGTAGAGCGTCCCCTCCGCCCCCGACACCTCGATGACCCACCTGTTGCCGTGCCACCCATCATGATTTTCATATCGCCTTTTGCTCGGTATATAAAAAAACAGATTACGAGAACGGAATCGTATTGCAGCGAAGATAAAAGGTCCGCAGCGGATCGATACTACGGCGGACCGAACGGGGGGACTGGATTGGTCGGGCGGGGAGGAGGGAGCGGGGGAGAGGGGAGGGCGTAGGGGCAGGCACCGCTGGAGGTTGTCGGAGACCTTGTAGGTGAAGCCGCCGGGAGGGCTGGCCTGCCACTCCCCGAGCTCCTTCTGCAGCCGGAGGCACGCGATCTTGCTCAGCACCTGCGCCCGCGCACACACACACACGGCAACAGCGGGGTTAATTCGGCCGAATCGGGCGGCGGTCGGCGAATCCGGCGGGGCCGGATCGGAAGGGGGGTCGGCGAGATTGGACGTGGCCGGCCCGGGGGCGGGGCGGGGGTTAGGGTTTGGTACCTTGCGGGAAGGGGAGGAGGAGGCGGAGCTCGTCATGGCGCGCCGCGCGCGGTCTCGCCGAGGCCGGGGGAGGGGGGAAAGGTGCGGGGAATACGTGGGGTGGGGTGGGTTGGTGTAGCGGCGGGGTGCGACGCGACGGGGATGCCGATGGCGGAGGAGCTCAAGTGGCCGGCTGGAAAGACTCGCCGCTCAATTCAACGCTTTCTCCTTTTGTTGTGATGAGAAATATAATACTCCCTCCGTTCCTAGATATAGGATGTATAGTTTTTGGCACGGAAATTAAAGAACGTATGTGGAGGGAAAATTTCACAAGTTTTGGGCAAAATTACACCTGACTAATTGACATGAGGAAATAAAGAAGCTTGCCCGATATAAGGAAATGTAATCAAATCCCTAAAAAAAATATCCAAACGAGTGGTGCAATGCAATACACCTTATACTCCCTCCATCCGGAAATACTTGTCTTAGGAATGGTTGTATCTAGACTTATTTTAGTTATAGATATATTCATTTTCAACCATTTCTAAGACAAGTATTTCCGGACGGAGGGAGTATTTCGGAATTTTTCTCAAAAATCTATACACCTTACATCAAGGAACGGAGGGAGTAACTCGATGCCTTGTGAACTTCCATGCGTTGGGAGACCTGGCCAAGTGGGCCGGCCCGGCCCGGCCCACGCTTAAACATGTCAGGCATGGTAGGTCCCACCTAGGCACGTTTATAAGTGGGTTGTGCCGTGCCAGCACACGGGCCCGCCCATGGCACGTTTAGTCCTAATGGGTCGCGTGCTACGGATTGTGTTTTTTTGTCTATTTATGTTTTTGCATATTTTTCCCTAAGGAACAAAAATGGGAAGAGAGGATCACCTTGCCGAAGTGCACACAACGGTGCAAATGAATCGAAGAGGGTTCCATTAAATTTAATAGTGTATCTCACCGAGGTGACGCATGTCATAATCCAGTTCACCCAACGGCGAGCGAAGCCCATCTTTTACATCATTCGCTCCAAGAAGATCCAGTCTACTCTGTCATATGCTTTAGACAAATCCAATTTATAAGCACAAAAACTTTTATTCGGGTCCTTTTCCTTCTGAATATAGTGAATGCACTCAAATGCTATCAATGCATTATCAGTGATCATCCGTCCAGGGACGAAGGCACTCTGCTCAAGCGATATAATCTCATCAAGAATAGGCCTCAAACGGTTAACCAAACATTTAGGCACTACCTTGTAGATGACGTTACACAAACTGGTCGGCTTGAACTCCGTGAGCCGCACGGGGTTTTCAACCTTGGCAATGAGAACTATGAATGTGTTGTTCACCCCCTCAGGCATGACTCCTGTCCGGAAAAATTTCTTAACCCCGGAGATCACCTGCTCTCGCATGACAAACCAGTTCCTCTGAAAGAAACGGGCAGGGAAGTCATCAGGCTCCGGAGCCTTGAGCGGTCCAATCTGAAAAAGTGCATCTGCAATCTCCTTATCCGTAAACTCTGCACATAGGCCATCATTCATTTGGTCAGTAAAACGTGTGTTGGGGATATAACTACTAGGTATGAACCGCCCAGGAGGGGTCGGGTCATGTCCCAGGCGACTTATCAATGAAGATGGCGGGTCATAGCAAGCCCATTGACGGCCCAAGACCCAGAGGCGACTTGAGGCCCAAGAGGATGAACAGCCATAAAGTATAACTTGTATTGTAAGGCAAGCATAGTTAGTCACCGAGCCGGACACGTTGTGTATGAGCCGGCCAGGACTCTGTAAACCGTTAGGCATCAACCTATGTATATAAAGGGGTGACCCGACGGCGAGTTGAGGACAAGAAACAAGAGATCGAGAACTAGGTCAAGCGTATTCGCTCCCTGGTAATCGGAACCCAAGCAATACAATCCCAAACTGGAGTAAGCCTTTACCTCCACCGCGAGGGGCCGGACCAGTATAAACTCTATGTGTCATTTGTCCCGATTAAGCCCTTTTAAGCTAACCTAACTATGATGGCTCCACGATTAAGTCCTTTCGCTAGGACATCTGTCGTGTCAAGTCCACGACAGTTAGTGACCACCGTGGGGCCTGCTCACGATGGTTTTGAGTTCTTGAAGGGCGACTTCGCAGGGATCACGGGATACGCTGTGGGCCGGATGACCAAGAGTCGTCGCGGCAAGCTCTACATCGACGACGCCGGCCGGGGCCCCGAGGCAGGCTCAATTGAGTATTGGTACCGGGTCCCCTTCGGCGGAATCCACGTCTTCATCGGCAAGATCGGTGAGTCAGGCCCTGAGCCGGACACCTACACCAACATCATTGAGACAGCTCAGCGTGCACGACTCGCCAAGATTCATGTTGTGGTGAAGCGCGCCTTTGTTGGATGCGTCCATGGGGTGGAGTATGAGGAAGGATTTGTGTCTGGTGGTGAGACGCCCATCTACTCTGATGGAGAGTCGTCAACTGGTGAGACCAACTCAATGTATCAACTGCAAGATGCCCGACTTGGGGGCTGTTTCTATGGCGACAGTATTTCAGACACCTATGAGCCGCCGAACAGGGCTGCAATCTTCATGGCGGGCACGCAGCCAGCTCACAATTCCTCAACAGTAGCGGCTATGACTTCCAGTTCAACGAACGCGGTGACAGCTGATGCGAGCCGTTCAGCACGCCCTCCGGCTCAGGTGTTGTTAGAGGTTTTGGACACTTTAGCAGCACTCATGGAAGTTGAGGTCACTGAGGGGGTCTTGTATTACGGCGTCCGGGCTATGTGACGTAGGCCGGACTAATGGGCCATGAAGATACAAGATAGAAGACTTCCTCCCGTGTCCGGATGGGACTCTCCTTTGCGCGAAAGGCAAGCTTGGCGTTCGATATGAAGATTCCTTCCTCTGTAAACCGACTATGTGCAACCCTAGGCCCCTCCGGTGTCTATATAAACCGGAGGGATTAGTCCGTGGAGGCAATCATAATCATACAGGCTAGACATCGAGGGTTTAGCCATTACGATCTCGAGGTAGATCAACTCTTGTAAACCCCATATTCATCCAAGATAATCAAGCAGGAAGTAGGGTATTACCTCCATTGAGAGGGCCCGAACCTGGGTAAACATCGTGTCCCTGTCTCCTGTTACCTTTGATCCTCAGACGCATAGTTCGGGACCCCCTACCCGAGATCTGCCGGTTTTGACACTGACATTGGTGCTTTCATTGAGAGATCCGATGTGTCGTTGTTAGAAGGTTCGATGGCTCCATCGGTCATCCACAACAAGGCTGCCCTGAGGGAGGTTTTTCTCCCCGGCCAGATCTTTGTGTTCGGCGGCTTCGCACTGCGGGCCAACTCGATTGGCCATCTAGAGCAGATCGACAGCTATGCCCCAGGTCACCAGATTAGTTTAGGAAATCTGGATTATGTTGATGATATCCGAGGAGACTTGATCTTCCAAGGGTTCGCGACCCCAACCTCCGCTCTGGCCTTAGATCCGGAGCGCATCACCAGGTCCAAAGACGGGATTCCCGAGCCCGCCAGACTCTCTACGGCTATTGAGCCTAGTGCGGGAGAGCCGGAGGAAGTAGTATTACCGGCAATCTTCATGAAGCCGGACTCTTCTCTGAACACTGACTCCGAACCCTCGGAGCCAGCATCGTATGAGCTCGGCCAAGGAGTCTCCTTCCTGCCGTACTCCACGGACTCTCCTCCCCCTGGCCAAACCTTGTCTTTAAGCGAGGCTCTGGACTTAATGCGATCCCTCGTCATCACAGAGGGGCAACGTCCGAACTACACCCAACCCGGACTAGGGGTTGAGAGCGGGGAATTTTACGTCCCACCCACCACCCACTTCATAGCCACTGTCGAGGACTTAACCGACATGCTCGATTATGGCTCCGAAGACATCGATGGTATGGACGATGATACCAGAGAAGAGCAGGCCCAAAACCCGCCGTTTACCGGACGCTGGACGACCACCTCTTCGTATGACGTGTACATGGTGGATACACCCAAAGAGGGTAACGGCGATAATGAGAAAAATCCAGTCGAGGATAAACCTCCTGATATACAACCAAAGCGCCGACGTCGGCGGTGCCGCTCTAAATCACGCCGTGGAAAAGACAGCAATACCGGCACCAGAGATAACAACACTCTGGACGACGCCGAAGACCAAGATGACCCCGTCGAGCCAACCTCCGAACAGGACGATCGGGAAGATGGGCAAATTAGCCCTGATGAACATGCTGTAAATGAAGACTCGGAGGATAGTAATTATCTTCCACTCTCTGAGGATGAAGTGAGCCTCGGCGACGAAGACTTTATCGTGCCTCAGGAACCTCTCGAACAGGAGCGCTTTAAGCGCCGGCTAATAGCCACTGCAAGGAGCCTGAAAAGAAGCAGCAGCAGCTTCAAGCTGATCAAGATCTGCTCAACGACAGGTGGACTAATGTCCTGGCAGTCGAGGAATACGGCCTCGGGCGCCCAACCAAGAGTTACCCGAAGCGTAAGCTGCTACCTCAATTTGACGACGACGCGCTGGAGCCGGTACCATCAGCGCGGTCCAAAATAACACGAGCTCTACGCGTAAGGTACGAGATAAACAAATTAGAAAGAACAGGGGATCTCTCTCTCTCTCTCACCTGTGGAGCCTCCATGGGGTACTGCTCCAGGAAGTCAACCTGCGGCCGGTAGGTCTCGCCGGCGTAGAGCGTCCCCTCCGCCCCCGACACCTCGATGACCCACCTGTTGCCGTGCCACCCATCATGATTTTCATATTGCCTTTTGCTTGGTATATATAAAACAGATTACGAGAACGAAATCATATTGCAGCGAAGATAAAAGGTCCGCAGCGGATCAATACTACGGCAGACCGAACGGGGGGACTGGATTGGTCGGGCGGGGAGGAGGGAGCGGGGGAGAGGGAAGGGCGTAGGGGCAGGCACCGCCGGAGGTTGTCCGAGACCTTGTAGGTGAAGCCGCCGGGAGGGCTGGCCTGCCACTCCCCGAGCTCCTTCTGCAGCCGGAGGCATGCGATCTTGCTCAGCACCTGCGCGCGAACAGCGGGG